GGAGGGCGGTTGTCGGGAGCACGGGCGACCTAACAGGTCCTACTGCACATACAGCGTCAACGCAACCACGACCACTCTCACAAGAGTGTCCGACTGAGAAGAAACTTAATTGAAGTTCAATTAAAAACATCGAACTGTTGTAGCATCAAATCAAACGCACCTTTAATTACAATGATAATAAAGGTCGCGCATTAAGCGAAATGTCACTTAAATTAAATAGTCTTTCTATTTTTTTTTCTTGATTACATCGTCAGTGGCTGTGCAATTTTGCGAAACAGTCATGCGTCTTGAAGGCTTGAAGGGTAGGACAGTTAATTCGCAATACATCTTAGATTGGGCCCCTGATACGCATTTTACACAAAAAAAAAACCAGTCAGGACAAATAATAAGTCGGTTTGCAGAAGTGATGTAATATATTTTCAGTCCAACAATAATAATTAGATAAAATATTTGAAAATTTATAAAAAAGGGCGCCAATGTTGTGATTGGGTAAAAAATGCACAGATAATACAAAAAATGAGGATATACGTTTCGTTTTACGCTGTCAAGATCTTGAACATCAGAACAGATCTTACTATCAAGCCGGACTCATAACATGACAGGCCAGGTACGTATCATATAGTTCTACAGGCTTGGTCAGTCGTAAACAATTTATGATAACTACTATTATCATTTACTAGCCGCACTCGCCCGCTTCGCTGCGCATTTAAAATTAACATTATTATTTATTGTCATTATTATTAGGTTGTCCAACACTCATATAAATATTAGCCTGTCGATTAAGTACATGTATTTTCTACATGGATACCAAGTTTCAAGTCTATCGGATGCACGGTTCAGTAGTTATAACGGAATATCAGTAAAAACCACTGTAGATTTATATCTAATATATAAAATTCTCGTGTCACGGGGTGCGTGATTGAACTTCTCCGAAACGGCTCGACCGATTTTTGTGCATCTTAGCGTGCATATCGGCCAGGGTAGAGAATCAAATAACATCTATTTTTTATCCCCCTAAATATTAAGGGTGGTCCACCCCTAAATTTGTTATTTTATTTTTAGACATAAAATTGTTTTTATTTTGTCATGACTTAGAATAAAAAAATTCATATTACTCTGCATTTTCACTTTTATACGATCAACCCCTGTTTTTTCATCCCGATTTTTATTTTTTTTATTCTATGCACAGATCCGCAATAAGGTTGCAAGATGGCAATCAAATATTATAATTGTAGTACGATAAATTCTTATTCAGAGCTTAGAATTTCAAGTTCCTTTAATTATGTTTTTTTTTTAAAATTCAATTTGATCTCCCGCCCTCGCCGGTCGACTACTGATCAACTATCAATCGATCAGTTATCCAAGCCAGGTGTCACTTTTCATACCCCTAAGTGATAAGGGTTGTCCACCCCTAACATTTATTTTTATTTTTGGACATTTTTTTTGTTATAAAAAGGCATTACCTAGGTATGTGGTTGAATGCGGTTTTGTTATTTTTATACTCCCTAAACGTTCACAGCGCTACATGCCTCTTTCACTCATTTACCACATCCTTACACACTTACAATTAGATACTTTTTTTTCTACACTGGAAATTCCCTAGAAATCTTATATTTTGCCTTAAAGCAACGTTTGCCGGGTCAGCTAGTATTAGTATAGATTTTCGTCTTTTTTAATGTCGTTGTATTATTGCCGTCTAGATCCGTGTCTATGATAACTGTCATTCGCATTTGCATACGTCGGATAAAATCATAGACCTTCATACTTCAGTGGATAAAATATAATGGCAGTAAAACACGTGAGATTCAAGCGTAAAGTTAGTCTAAATTATGTATACTAAGTCCAGCAATTTGATTGTATGAATGAGACGGGTATATGTGTGTTACTACTAGGTGATGTTACTCCTTAAAAACCAGTTCGGTCATACAGACATGAATACTGATGCTATCGGATCATTCTAGTAACGTTTACATCGATACAGCGGATTGCGTCTTAAGTCAAAGTAACAAAGATTAGATTTGAACGTTACTCAAATATTTCTAAAGTAAGTTTTTATGTTTTGCGATTTTACTCCTTATTTTTTATGCACTAAGTCCGGTTTTAGTATTATTCTTCTAATGATTCCGTTTATATACAGGTGGTTATTTAATTAATATTACGTACAGCGTAAATATTTTAGTGTCTTTCTGTGGCGCATAAAGAAATCGACACGTGAGTATCGGGATCACGTCAGAGAGAACTGCGTGGGAGACCACAAGTTTTCGAAAAAAAAAAAAAAAAAAAAAACACAGCTGTGACGTCATATCTTAAATTTGTCAAATTAATTTAAGTCCCAACTGTGGAAGGAAATTTACATGAGCTCCAAATAGTGTCGGACTGGCAAGGTGTTGCGCAGCGCTGAGAGGAATGGCAACGCTTATTGTCGGAGCCCAAGACACATTTTGGGATCATAGCATCAGCGCAGTAGCAGCAATACTAGAATTTTTTTTTTTGTTTATTGCTTAGATGGGTGGACGAGCCCACAGCCCACCTGGTGTGAAGTGGTTACTGGAGGCCATAGACATCTACGACCCACCCACATTGAGATATCAGTTCTAAGGTCTCAGTATAGTTACAACAGCTGCCCCACCCTTCAAACCGAAACGCATTACTGCTTCACGGCAGAAATAGGCGGGGTGGTGGTACCTACCCGTACGGACTTACAAGAGGTCGTACCACCAGTAAAAAACTCGTAAAAAAGTCGATTCGGGCCACGGCGGACCAACAAGAAAGAATGTCGTAGAAAAAAAAAGCAATATCGCACACAACACATGGTCTCACAGTTGTCAGTGGGTCGCGTTTCCGATCCGGTGGTAGATTCTGCGAAGCACTGCTCTTGCTAGGGCCAGTGTTAGCAACACTCCCGGTTTGAGCCCCGTGAGGTCACCTACACGTCAAGGAGAAGCTTAAATAGCCTCTCAAGGCATTTGTAGGCATTGCTGAAGTCCATGGGCGACGGTAACCACTCTCTCGTGGGCTGTATGCTCGTCTGCCAACACGGGCAATAAAAAATAAAAAAGTCGGGTGTATACGATGTGTATACGTAACATTAGCATGTCGGTGACGCGAACCCGTAATATTTCCCCGACTAAAAAGTGTTCAAAGCGACTAAAGAAGTTTTGGCTTCATAAAAAAAAAAGTATGTACTATAACGATTTGTAGTAAGTAGTATTTATATAAATTGATCAAAGATAATGAAATTCGTAGAAACGATTTTTGTCATAACAATTTTGCGTATTTACCGCAATTAAACAAATGTGTAAATAGTAACTAAATGAATGTTATGTAAACATCATTTAATTACAGAATAAAATGAACTGAGTAGTGTATTGGTTGTTTGTAAGTTACACGTGGAGAATAATAATTAAAAAATATATATAAATATCTTACATGCTGTATATATCTGACATTGGGTATCTACCTCCTTAATTATATCAATGGCAAGCGTCTATTAACACAATATTGGTTCAGTATATAAAATTATTTGGTTATCATTCAAATTTTTCTTTCTTTACCTGGTGACCTAGCACTGAATCACTGACTTTTGTAACACAGGTTTTCTTAGCATAAAAGTCAGGGAATTTTGTTATTGTATACCTCATAAAAAAGCCATGTATATTATTATACTAGTGTTATAGAATTCTTGTACGTGTTTGCATTTTAAGAGGCTTGAATAAATTATTATTATTATTATTAATATTATTAAATCTCCGGTTTCAGAGGGCGCCTTCGGTGTACCTCTTTGAAAAACTCTGGAATGTTGCGATACTCCTGTCGTATTTGTAACATCAGAGGACTTTTTGGCGGGAACGCGAGGAGTGAAGCTGTGTGATTTGTTTTATTTTGTCTATTTCGTGTTTCTTCAGGTTTAAATGTGTAATAACGGTGGTTTATTAACTGTTTAATATCTGTGAAAGTGCACAAATGTGGGAAAATGGTAACAAAGCTGCTTGACGTAACTTCTCGGGATCCTACAAAAAATCTCAGTAAATGACCACCATTTTACTGAGATTATATTTCATCTCATCTCATTTCATTTAATTTCACTCCATAATGTTATTTTTTCATAAAAATAAGAATATATGTTAAAATAAGGCTTGACCTAAAGCTCTTCGTTACAGGTCATAAAATTCCTTTAAAAAAAGTAACATCAGAGCACTGGCTTGTAGATTTCATCGTATGTAGAGGTCTTATTATCTAAGATATGTCTCTTTTTTATCCTACCAAAGCTGGTTGAGTTTCTCGCCGGATCTTCTCAGTGGGTCGCGTTTCCGATCCGGTGGTAGATTCTGCGAAGAACTTGTTAGGGCTAGAGTTAGCAACACCTCTGGTTTGAGCCCCGAGAGTTCACCTATACGCTAGGGTAACGCTGATATAGCCTCTAAAGGAATAGGTAAAAAAAAAATTACATAAATATGTTACTAGATGTATGCGTGAGGAACGATCTTCACGACGACCTAAATATAGAACCGATATGTGAGTATCTTAAAGTAGCATCAAAAGGCTACTTCGACAAAGCGGCGCGACTTCCTCTTATCGTGGCTGCCACTAATTACCTATACGACCCAGACGACGGGGCAACGCAAAACCGCCATCGCCCGATAAATATTTTTTCGGATCCCCTGGATCCCAAGCACTGGTCCTCGTCGAACTCGTCGATGACGACGAAGAGTTCGACGAGTGAACTAACTCACAGCCCACTGAGTTTCTGGCTGGATCTTCTCAGTGGGTCGCGATTCCGTTGCGGTAGTAGATTTAGCAGAGCACTGCTCTTGCTAGGGCTAGTCTTAGCAAATTCCCTCATGTCGAGCCCGTGAGCTCACCCGACCTGCGAATAGGTAGAGAAAAAAACGGTTAAAATAAATCCATTAACAAGAAAAATCATTTTAGGAAGCTTTTACGAACGAAAATGAACAATGGTAGTGAACCCTAAAACCGCAAAAACAATTTATTTCAACTCACAACATGCTTGCCTTCCGACTTAAACGCGGTTTTTAGAATTTAAAATTATAAAATCATAAATTTTTATTTTTAACAAAAAAAACAAAAGTTTCGTGCGATTTGTTAATAGTGAAATTAATTTTAATAATGTGCGAAGTTAAAATTACCGTAGAAGACAAAAATACTAGAAGTAATGTAAGGGGTTGTGGCCTAATTATATTGGTTTTAAGAACGCTCTTTCATGGATTGAGTTGGTCGATACATTCCTTTGTGACGTTATACGGGATTCGTGTTGTGTTTACGGTATCTAAAGAGCAAATGGAAAACCCGATGATAAGCGAAATGATAAAATTCACACCGCTTTTCTTGACCAACTGGAATTTTGTGAGTATAAATACTGCTGCTACTTTTTTTTCCCTAACTAAGCTGAGAGCCTTGAGAGGCTATATCAGCGTAACCTTAACTAGTAGGTGAGGTCACGGGGCTCGAACCTGACGACGTTGCTAACACGAACCCTAGCAAGAGTCGTGTTTCGCAGAATCTACCACCGGATCGGAAACGCGACCCACTGAGAATATCCGGCGAGAAACTCAGTGGGCTGTGTCTGTGGGTTAATTTACTCGTCGAGCCCTTCGTCGCAAGCGACGGGTTTGACGAGAACGGTGACCAGTGCTTGAGGTACCTAAAAGCACCGTTAGTGGATCGGGAGGATCCGAAATGACGTGTGCTGCTACTGTTAGCTTGGCGTGTATCTATGTTTTTAGTTTTCTACCTATTCTAGTGACCGATATTAGATACACCGAATGAGTAAGTGAGCTCATAGGACTCAAATCTAGTCAATTTGCTAATACTAGCCCTAGCAAGAGTAGTTCGCAGAATCTACCACCGGATCGGAAACGCGACTCACTGAGCGGATCCGGCGTGGAACTCTGTGGGCTGTGTCTGAGGGTTAAGTGTCTATATTTGTTTGTATTTAACAAAATCTTTGAAAGTAATTTTCAACCGACTTCAAGATACCTGAATGATTGGTAAATTTGCGCACCCATTAAAAACCGATGAAGATACAATAATTTTATAACTTTGCTCTAGCATAACCAGTTTAGATAGCATAAAATAAAAAAAAAGATATTAATTTTAAAGTTTTATTTATTTAAATGATAGCTCGGTTTGTTATTTGAGCGTGTTTTTTTAATTTTTAACCGCCTACAAAAAAGGATGAGGTTCTCAATTCGACGGTTTTTTTTTATGTTTGTCTTTTGACTGGGTGAATCGATTTTGATGATTCTTTTTTTATGAGAAAGCTAACGCTTCCCGTATTATCCCATTTCAATTTAGTCCAGTTCTGATAATGGTATCCATGAGAAAACCATATAAGTCTTAAATTTGCATTAAGTACGTGCGCGACAAATAGATGAATAACTCAATAACTAAATATCACGCCAACCGATTTCGATGATTATTGTTTTTTAGTGTATATTAATTTGTTTTGGAATATCTTTTTTTTCTATGTGATTTTTTTTTATTGCTTTGATGTGTGGACGAGCTCACAGCCTACCTGGCGTTAAGTGGTTACTGGAGCCCATAGACATCTACAACGTAAATGCGCCACACACCTTGAGATATAAGTTCTAAGGTCTCAGTATAGTTACAACGGCTGCCCCACCCTTCAAACCGAAACGCATTACTGCTTCACGGCAGAAACAGGAGGGGCGGTGGTACCGACCCGTGCGGACTCACAAGAGGTCCTACCACCAGTAAAGTGTCTATTTATAATTCTTAAGCCAAAGGTATTGCTGTTTAATAAGACAGTGCCGTGATAAATGATTTTGCAATTTTAAAACTGGGGCTATTAAATTCCTTTTACGGCTTTAGTATTTGCATTTAAAGAAGCGTTAGTAAAAATCTTTAGTCGTTAAAATTATAATTAAAAATATGTACTTTTTTGGTTTAATTTAGGGTTTAATGTTGTTATTTTATTATATATTACGTTTTGAATACTTTATTTATTTATTTATTTAAGGATTACCAACAGGGCTTATCACTGGTGGTAGGACCTCTTGGGAGTCCGCACGGGTAGCTACCACCACTCCGCCTATTTCCGCCGTGAAGCAGTAATGCGTTTCGGTTCGAAGGGTGGGGTAGCCGTTGTAACTATATTGAGATCACTGGTGGTAGGACCTCTTGGGAGTCCGCACGGGTAGGTACCACCACTCCGCCTATTTCCGCCGTGAAGTAGTAATGCGTTTCGGTTCGAAGGGTGGGGTAGCCGTTGTAACTATATTGAGACCTCAGAACTTATATCTCAAGGTGGGTGGCGCGTTTACGTTGTAGATGTCTATGGGCTCCAGTAACCACTTAACATCAGGTGGGCTGTGAGCTCGTCCATCCATCCAAGCAATAAAAAAAAAATAAAAAAAGGGCTTACAGTAAGACATAAAATAACATTGACATGTATAGAGCAATTGATAACTGCAACTCTAATTAGATGCAATCACAGCATTAATTACATTAATATATCAACAGAGTTTTTAGTTTATAGTTTAGAGTTTATAGTTTTCTTGGTCGCAGACGATTAAGGTGTTGTCCGTGGACATTTGATTATTGTACTCTTGTCTTTTGCGTTTACACAGAAATAACTAATGAAGAAGAAAAAATCCTAAAGTTTTTTTTTATTGCCCTTGTAGGCTAACGAGCATACGGCCCACCTGATGGTGAGTGGTTATCGTCGCCCATGGACTTCAGCAATGCCAGGGGCCGAGCCAAGCCGCTGCCTACCGTTTAATACTCTCCACAAGCCTCGTTTGAAGAAGGACATGTCATAGCGCTCGGGAAACACCGTGGAGGGGAGCTCATTCCATAGCCGGATGGTGCGTGGCAATGGCAATGGCATCCTCAAGTCTACGTAGTTTGTTTGTCTCGGGTTTTTATCCATAGAGATAATACACATAATGTTTTCATCTGTATTAGAAAAGGATCAAATGTCCAACAATTTTATTACTCTGTTATATAGTAAAGTTGGTCTTCGCTTCTGTCGTCAAAGTCTTGCTTTATTCTTCTTCTTAGTCGAATACTTCATTGCTGAAGGTCGTGTCCCTGAAAGCCCTTCGTGGCTCTTTGCACCATCAGCTTCCATTTCCTTCGGTTTTCGGCTTCTCTCAGGGCGGTCGCAACAGAGAGTCCAGTGGGCGCAGCTATCTGATCCGACCAACGGTTTGGTGGCCGGCCGGCGGGTCTTTTCCCTTCTACCTTGCCCACCATAATCTTTCAAGGTCGTCTGGTGGCCGCCGAGCAATGTGACCAAAGTAACCGAGAACATTCTGGTAGAAAATCGTAGACAGTCTCGTTTCTATATGAAGTTGCTCGAGTGCAGATATGTTTGTCCTCTTGGCGGTCTTTGCTTTATTAGTTCTTTCGAATAACTCAATCATTTTCGTTTGGCCTTTGTCGAAAAACATTCTATGGGCTATTAGGACATTCAACAGTACCGGAACACCGAGGCAACGTTCTAGAACCTTCGTGAATTGTTTCGCGGAATATTCGAGAGATGGTATAGTCTTTTCGATATCTGAGGAATTGTTCGAGATGATACCAGCATCTCGTTTTTACCATCGCACCGCCCGCCACCGGAGTAGAGTTCATCCATACTACCTGGAGCCACTGTGGTCATCCACAGTGCGCTTCCAGAGATCTTTTTTGCCACGTACCATACGGCTATGGAATGAGCTCCCCTCCACGGTGTTTCCCGAGCGCTATGACATGTCCTTCTTCAAACGAGGCTTGTGGAGAGTATTAAGCGGTAGGCAGCGGCTTGGCTCTGCCCCTGGCATTGCTGAAGTCCATGGGCGACGGTAACCACTCACCGTATGGTGGGCCGTATGCCCGTCTGCCTACAAAGGCAATAAAAAAAAAAAACTGTTTTTGATGTCTGACAACAGATGTCGTTACTCGTACCGGCTTGAGAGTGGGGAGGACATATCCCCGGGATAATTCAGTGGAAGGGTGTTCGTTCTAAATCTAGATGATCCGTGGCAGAAAAGTGTTTCTAGGGTAGCACTCTGGACGTAAGCAGTGGTTACAGAGGAACGAACTGGGGTGGGTTGTTGCCAAAAGGGTGTGATGGAATCACTTCAAACAATGCTCATCATCCATCTCCTAGCATTGAAATGATCATAACATGACTTACGTAACGACTACGATTCTCCGTGACATTAACGATCAATTTAAATACATTAGCATTATGACATTGATTTGATTACGTAATAACTTGTGGATTTTCTAAAAACAAAAGAATAGGAATGTTAGTTCTTTATGAATGAATGATTTATTTTATTTCAGACAACAATAAGTCCATATGTGTACATAGTATCATTGAAACATACTTAAAATTAACAAAGCCAATCAAATAAAAAATATACATTTATTAAAAGTAGTTATCAGTGGATACCTTTCAAATATTCCATTCCCCTGATACCTACTTCGAACCATCCATTATTATTATTATTATTGTTTAGTCTTTATGTGTCCTTATTTATAGTGTCCTCTTAATACCAAGGCATCGCACCGTGTTACGAATACCAAGCCTTAGTATATCACCAAGCTGATGAATGATTTTTTATTGCTTAAATTGGTGGAGGTGCTCATGGCCCACCTGGTGTTAAGTCGTTACTGGAACCCATAGACATCTACAGCGTAGACGCGCCACCCACCTTGAGATATGCCTGCCTATTTCTGCCGTGAAGCAGTAATGCGTTTCGGTTTGAAGGGTGGGGCAGCGGTCGTAACTATACTTGAGACCTTAGAACTTGTATCTCAAGGTGGGTGGCGAATTTACATTGTGAATGTCTATGGGCTCCAGTAACCACTTAACACCAGGTGGGCTGTGAGCTCGTCCACCCATCTAAGCAATAAAAAATAAAAAAAAGATACAAGTTCTAAAGTCACAGTATAGTTACAACGGCTGCCCCACCCTTCAAACCGAAACGCATTACTGCTTCACGGCAGAACTAGGCAGGGCGGTGGCACCTACCCGTGCGGACTCACAAGAGGTCCTACCACCAGTAATTACGCATATTATAATTTTGCGGGTTTGATTTTTATTACACGATGCTATTCCTTCACCGTGGAAGTCAATCGTGTACATTTGTTGAGCACGTATTTCATTAGAAAAATTGGTACCCGCCTGCGGGATTCGAACATCGGTGCATCGCTTCAACACGAATGCACCGGACGTCTTATCCTTTAGGCCACGACGACTTCAATACCAAGTGTCCTCTCAATACCAAGGAACCGGAGCGTGTGACGAATACCGAGCTTTTACTATACTTTAGTATATCACCAAGCTGATCATTTACTTTTTTTTATTGCTTAAATTGGTGGACGTGCTC